AATCGGCTTAGTGAAGACTTCTCTTTGTAGAATCTTATTTAAATTTTTTTCTATTGACATAACTCTGCATGATAACATAAGTTTCAGGTGTGCATCATTATTAATCAACATGTGTACATACTACCGATGTCACCACCAAAGTCTAATTTTATCCTCCACCCCAGCACTGCTTCCTCTGTTCCAATTCGCCCTCCCCCTTCTGGTAACCCCTTAGAGTCCAAAAGTTTATTTTTGTTTTATTTTGTTCATCTATTTGTTTGTTCCTCTCTTTTTCACATATAATGAAATCATATGGTTGTCTTTTTCTGTCTGACTTACTTCGCTAAGAATTATTCCCATTAGGTTCATCTATGTTGTTGCAAATGGCAGAATGTCATCTTTTTTACAGATGAGTAGTATTTCATTGTATTCATATATGCCTTATTTTCTTTCCCCATTTGTCACTTGATGCTTAAGTTGTTTCCATTCTTGGTTATTGCAATAGTGTGCAAAAAATTATAGAATGCTTCGTGAACTTCCTCTGTTCCTCATGCAGGGGTCATGCTAATCTCTTATTCCAACTTTGGTCTATGTGGAGATGAAGCAATTCCTCTTATAGCTTTTCTAACTGCTACCTGTTAATGAATCAAGATCATATAATAAATTCCATACTCAGATCAAAATCTGGTAACACATCTGTGAAAGGCTTATGATATTCTGCACTACGTTGGTTGTAAACCTGTGTGAACAGATGTGGTTGTTTATCTGGAAACCCCATCACCCCTTCTTGCTAGCAGAAGCTCGGTTTTGCTCAGGCTTCTACCCATCCATGCCTCTATCTGTTTTATTTTTTTTTTATTTTTTTTTTTTTAAAGAGGCACGTATTTTATTCATTTATTTATTTATTTGTTTGTTTGTTTTTGTTTATACATGCACTGGGTACAGTCAGAAGCGCGGGAGGGTGAGAGAATTCACCAGAGCCAGAGCGGGGAGCAGAGCAGGCAGAAGGACCGAAGTACACTGCTGAGGGGAGCAGCGGGCGGCAGGAGAGGTCCGCGCGCCATGTGGGACCCTCCTCCGGTGGCCGGGGAGCAGCCGGGGATCGAACCGGTGCCGCAGAGGCTGCGGGCAGCTTCGCAACCCAGCGCTCAACCGCTGCGCCACCGGGGAGGCCCTCTATCTGTTTTAGAAGTAAATTCTGGTTAATCCTGGCCAATCATGATAATTCCATTCTCTTTACCAAGGCATGGTTTAGAGGCAGAAATGTGACTTGAATTCTGGGCCAGGATTTGCAGGGAAGACATTGTTAGCATGCAGACTGAGGGTTACCCTGGGACCCTGAAACTTCTATGCACTAAATGGATTCTGCCATCCAGTGAATAAAGACAAAGCATTCTCTTTAATTCGAAGAGATTTAGTAGGATTAGTGTGTATAGAAAGAGAAGAAAGGATAATAATTTTCCAGTAAAATATCCAAAGCTACCCATCCTCTCATGGGTAAATGCCTAGTCAAACAGGCTTTGCCCAAAGCAGGACCCAAAAGTTTGCCACAAGTCTAAGACTCCTTCTGGTAGGGGGCCACATGAGGGGGCAGAGGGGGCCAAGCAAGTCTGAGATGGAAGGAGCAGAATCAAAGTACAAATCAAGATAACGGCTGCCATTGTCAGCCTCTCCATGGCCCCTCACCCATGTCTCTACATGTCTTGATTTCCTGTGTCTCCTTCCATGTTCCCAAGTGCCTGGTGCAAGTGCAAAGCTGAGAAGCAAGCGAAACTTCTTCACATGTCTCTGCTCCATGTGCCTCCTCCAGGTCTCTTCTCCCCATCCTGCCTACTTTTCTTCCTGCTCAGCTCTACCCCTCTCCAGGTGAGGCATGGAACACAGAATCTCCCCTTTTATGAAGATCACAGGGTTACAAAATGGGGGGTAGAGATTCTCAGAAAGGGTAGCTGAATGACCAGAAGAGATTATTGAAAAAGAGGAAACTGCATCTTCCCTGACAGCCCGAACTACAGCAGTCTTCTGAGTATGACAAGAGACAAAAGGTGGAATGAAGCTGGGTCTTCCATGATGTCAAGAGATGTTGAACTAACCACCGAGGCAGTCCCCTCCCTAGGAAGCCTTTGTTATATAAGATAATATATGTGCCTTACTAATGTGGCAATTTTGAGACATTGCTTTTTTTTTTTTTTAACCTGCAGGCAAAAACATAATGAACACATCTTACTTTAGAATATTTTAAAAGTTATTAACTTTTGGGGGAATCCAAGGTCTTTTTCAGAATCTATCCATCCATTCATTATTTAAAATAGATAATTAGTGAGAAACTGCAGCAAAGGATACCATGTTATGACAAATTACAACAAATAAGAAGAAAGTATAAGGAGCTATGTGAAAATAACTGAGGAAATAGTGTAGACCCAGAAAGGGAGGGGTGGTTAATGTGAGACTTCAGTTAGCAGCTGGTGTGCGAGCTGAGGCCTGAAAGCAAGGGGAAGGGAGGATGGTTTCCACCCGTGCCTCTGCGGAGGGGGATAGGTGGGGTAGGTGGGAGGGATACATCGTGGTACCCTAGAGGGTGGGGGTGGGGTTAGGGAAAGATGGCTCTTCTAAGACTGGAAAGGTCAGCTGGATCCCTACATAGGAGAGAACGTGGAGACCATACAGAAGAATATTCTCTCTTTCCTAAGAATAGAATGGAATATAATGGAGGGTTCTAATGGGTATGTCAGGGCTAGAGAGCCCAGATAGCTTCTTCTGGGTACCTCAGGACCTATAGAGCTACATTCAAATACAAAACACTGCTTGTTTTTTTTTAATGCTGTGTTTTTTTGTTTTTGTTTTTTATTTTTTATATCATTTTCCATTTTTGTACAATGTATGCATTTTCATCCTAGTTATAGTCCCTGTAAAATTCCCACCCCCCCTTGTGTTGATCCTACTCCCTTTCCACCCCCCTGTAGTGTGTTTCTGGTTTATAGTTGCTTGTTGATTTTGATTTTTACTTTATTATAATTAGTCTTTTTCCTGGTCCCTTATTTAGGTTTTCTAAATTCCTGCTATGAGTGAGACCATCCAGTATTTTTCTTTTTCTTTCTGGCTTATTTCGCTGAGCATGATCCCTTCCAGCGCCATCCATGTTGCTGCAAATTGCATGTGTTTATCTTTTTTGTATGCTGAGTAATATTCCATTGTGTATATGGACCACATCTTCTTGATCCAGTCATCTATTTTTGGCAAAGCACTACATGACATACACCTCAGTAACATCTTTCAAGACACATCACCCAAAGCAGTGATAGTGAAGGCAAAGATAAAGAGCTGGGACTACATCAAATTAAAGAGCTTCTGTACAGCAAAACTCTGCTTTTAAAGGGGATCCTAGGGAGTGTCTCTGAGCGTACCCAATTCCCATGTGCTTTCTACATCTCCCAGCCTTCCTTAGTTTGGTTGGGACTATCAGGCTGGGTTTGGCAGGGGTGAGTAAGCCATTTCCAGGTCTGGTTCTTACAGACACCCTGCTGCTCTTCCAGTCCTTGCTTCACCCACTAGCATGATTCTGGAAGTCCCTTTCCCGGGTGGCAAGGTAGACTGGCTGGTGGCCTGCTTAGATTTCTCGTGAGTGAGAAATAGATCAGCCTTTTATGGCCCTGAGGTTTCAGTTTGTTTGTTACTGCAGAGTGACATGACTATATTAGCTTCCCAGGCTGCTGGGATAAATTACTGCAGAATGGGAGGCAGCAGAAATTCACACCCTTCCAAATTCACACTCAGTTCCAGAGGCTAAGACTCTGAAATCTGGGTTTCGGCAGAGCCAAGCTCCCTCTGAAGGGCTGAGGGAGGGGTCCTCCCTTGCCTGTTCCTGGCAAGGGGGGTCGTCACCAATCCTGGGGCTCCTGGCCTTCTAACTGCATCACTCTAGTCCCTGCCTCCGCCCTCATAGTGTCTTCTCTCTCTGGTCTGTCTCTGCTCTGTCTCTGGCTTCACATGACTTTTTGTAAGACACCAGTGTTAGACACGGGGTCCACATTTACCCATTATAACCTCATCTTAACAAATCACATTGGGGCCTCCCTGGTGGTGCAAGGAGTTAAGCTATCTGCAGCCACTGCAGCACAAGTTTGAAACCCAGCCAGGGAGCTACCCACATGGTGCAGCAGACCTCTCCTGACTCACCCGCTGCTCCCCTCAGCAGTGTACTTCAGTTAATCTGCCTGTTCTGTTCCCCACTCTGTCTCTGGTGAATCCTCTCACCCTCTGCACCTCTGGCCTGTACCCCAGTTCTTGTACGCATAAATAAATAAATCTTTAAAAAAAACCCACAAATCACATCGGCAAAAACCTTATTTCCAAACAAGGCCACATCCTGAGGTTCCGGTGGACATGCATTTTGGGGGACACTATTCCCACGATGACTGATACAGGATGTGACTGTAACACACAGCAGCACTTCCACCAGCCCCAACACTAGAGTCACGCGGGGACCTCTCACTTGCCTGTCCATTCTCCTCCCTCATCACCCCGATTCTCCCCAGTCTGCACGGCACTGGCTTCCTGGCCTCCGTCTTCCTCCCATCTCCCTGGGTAACATCTGTCCACACTCAGGCTCACAACCATTACGGGGACTGGGCTGGCCAAAGCGGAACATCAACAGAGGGCAGGCTCAAGGGGAGGAAATTAAGCAACAAGGCAAGATACGCTCACGCTCACGGGTGAGTGGAAGGGGATTGGGGCGCACTTGCCAGGTAATAGGCCATCCCCACCAGATCTGCATTTCAAAGGTGACTCTGGCTGTCTGTGAGCCAGATGGGTGGAGGCAGCAGTGGTGCAAGCAAGAGGCCCCTGGAGGCTTCTGGGACAGTCCTCAGAGCTGGCCAGGGTGAGGGTAGAGGATCCAGCTTCGGACTCAGTACAGGGTCCGTGCTGGTAGGACATGAGTGGGGTGGTGAGGGAGAGGGTCTATGCAAAGCTGTGGACCCTGTTTTCAGGAATATGCGCATTCAAAGTGGTACATGCACGGTCAAAGATTTTAATGCAAGTGTATGGACTCCTGTGGGTCATTCCTGAGTTGGTGTCGCTGAGGGCTGAGAGGGGGAGGCACAGACCTCTGAGAATGCAGCTCCTCTCCTCCGAGCTGACAGCCCAGGAGCAGCAGCCGGCCAGAGGTTCCTCTTTGTGGGGGTGCTGGAGAAGTCTGGTGGTGCCGGAAATAAATGAAGCCATTACCTTTAACAGCCCGGAGTCTGCACAGAGCAGGGGTCTGACTGCGTGGAGAAGGCTGGAGGGAGCAGCTGCACAAAGGGCTTTCATGGCGAGCTTTTCCAAACACAATAAACAGAGAACAGAGGTAATTTCAAAATGGGAAAAGCCCATTTCCCTGTATACAAGCAGAAGCCTGGGGCGGAGGTAGAACCCCAGGAACAGAATATCCAGCACCAGTGCCCGAGGTGGGAGGTCTTGTAAGCAGGTGGGGTGGGTCAGGCCCCAGCACCCCAGCCCCACTGGTGTGGTCAGGCGGGCACCGTGGTCGCCCTTGTCCTGGCGACTCCTGTAGTAAGTGCTCACTGCAGCCTCCCGGCCACGTGGGGCTGGTCAACAAAACAGGCATCTACTTGGTGACCTGTGTCATGATGACACAGTCAAGCCTGGTCCCCAAGTCCATGGGGACCCCACCTACAGGGAAGTGAAGTCAGCTGGCTCAGTTGAGCTGGGGTCATAGGAGCTGATTCAATTGTGAGCAACCCAGGAAGGTCCTGCTCAGGGCAGGGTGCCTGCTGCCCAAGTGCCAGGTGTGATCAGGTTTCACCTGGCCCGGCATCAGGAGCTGAGGGGTCTGGTTTAGGGACAGAGGGTGCAGAGGACGATCCCTGAGTCTTAGTCACCAGCATCAATGGAGAGTCATGTTTTAAATCCATGGAGGATGTATTTTTTTCAATAGACTCGAGTACTTTTATTTGTGAAATTTTATTATGTTTTCATGTAGTATTTTTTTCTTAAACTGTTGCTAGTTTTTGGACAACATAAGATTTCTACCCTCGGGGGTGGTCATTGTAGTTCTCCTACCACCAAAGCACCCCTAGTCCGTCACCACAGTCTCTGTGCTCTCGTCCCACCCGCTTCCCCTCTCTCTAGCCCTGCCCCCCGCTTCCCTCCTTGGCGCCTCATATCTGTGGTCAGCTTTCAAGGTTTGCCTTTGTCTGATCCTTTGTTTGGTTTTTCTATATTTCACATTTAAGTGCAACCATTCGATATTTACTTTTTTCCTTCTGACTTATTTCCCTTAGCATCAAGCCTTCCAGCTCCACGGAGGGTGTATTTGAAAGGAAGCTTCATGACTGACAAATGGCTGCAGGGGGAAGGGACAGGATTCAGCTCACTGATAAGAGAAGGAGGCAGAAAGAAGCTGGACAAGCTTTTAGGGTTTGGGTCCAGCTGGGAGTGGAGCAGGACCCTGGAAGATATGACTGCACCCACAGAGTCCTGGTCATGATTAAGGGTGGGGGGGCTAAGAACAGGGGGTACAAGGTGCCTGGACATTGTTTGGTTGTTTCTGCTGTTGAGTAATGCAAAAGAAATTTCATTGTGTTTCTCTCAAGCCGTATGGATCTGTCACCAGTTTGCATAACCATGTGATGTGTGAGTACACTTCACAGCACCACATACGCACACACCTCACACACCCTCCACCAGTTCCCCAGTTCCACCCCGGTACCCTCACTGGTTATGTAGGCTCAGGGTCAGACGCCCAGCCTGGCCCTAGTGTTTTGGTGGCTGCTGCTACATCATCAGTCTTGTCTCATTGACTCATGACTCTACCTGAGAGATCAGGTAGCAAGTCTGGGGTCTTGATGCTGGGCATGCCCAAGGCCGCCCCACTGGAACTGTCAAGCCTTCGGATTCCTGCTGAGACTTGAGACCAAGTCTGGCCAGCTTGACCAGACTTCCGTGTCCTGCCCAGTTCTTGTCAAAGCCCTCTCCTGGCCCCCTGGCCCTCTGACTACTTCCAGAACCTTCAGGGAGCTGCCCAGCAGGCAGGCACTCCACCTCTAGTGTTTCCCTTGGGAGAAAATCAATTTCCAGTCTGGAGCCAGATTACCTGGTCTGAATTTTGGCTCTGATTCTTCCTACAAGTATAATCTTGCATAAATTTCTTCATCCTCTGGGCCTTAGTTTCTTTATTTGTAGCTAATAAAAATAACCCTAAATCAAGGGTATATACGCATTAAATGAGATTATGCATGTAAAGAACTTGAACTAAGGTCTAACACATGTAAATTCTACCCGATATTATCATAACGTTTCACTGTCGACTGACAGGGTTGGTGGCTGGTCTGATGGCCAAGCTGTTCCCTGGCCTCGCCCTGGCCTGTCAGTATGACGTCTGTTCCTTCTCCATCAGCCTGGGATGCTGGGATGCTAACTTCTCTCCAGGTTCAACTTCCCTAATATCCTCCAGGGATACCTTGCCACTGCATCTTTGGAAGAAAGTATTCATGAGCATAGACACTAGAACAAGAATGGGACCAAACCCAAGCCAGTTGGGTAAGGTTCAGCCTTTAAAAAAATATCATTCCGCTCTAAGTGGGGAACAAGGAGACATGTGTCTCTTTGGGAACACAGTGAAGGTGACACCCCTTCTTTTTAGAAAAGCTGGTTAAAGGGTGAGGCCCAGCGCTTTGGGAGGATGGTGTTTGAGCTTCAGCTTCATTCATCACAGGATTGGGGGTGGGTTTGTGAACAGCAAGCATATGAGAGGCTGTGGGAAAGGCAATGACATGCAGTCTCCACCATCACTAATAATAGTTCAAGATGAAACTGAATTGATTATGAAAGGAAAGAGTCAGCTTAGGTACAAAGAAAAGAGGACCATAGAGAGTTCCAGTAGAGACAATCTGGGAGATGTAAAAATTGGAATATTCCAGGCATCCTTGACATCACACTTAAGCTGTGGAATGCTGGACGTCAAGGTCTGCAAGCACCTATACTGAGTCCATTCAGCCGACGTGGTTTCATAGAGAGGTAACAATCAGGGTGGCATTTTTTTTTTTCCTGATGACTTAACTCCTCTATTGATTTTCATGGCCTGTTCATTTCCACTTTTCTATGCCTCCACTCCCTTTTCACCTAGTGACCACACTGGAGTCTTCTTCAGGCCCAATTACACTTCTTTGTTCAAATTGCCCTGAAAACATTTGTCCCTGGGACTCCCTGGTGACGCAAGGGGTTAAACACCGCACTATGAAGCAATCCACAGACTCTGCAGCACAAGTTCGATCACCGGCCCACCAGGGAGAAAGCCACATGGCGCAGCAGACCTCTCCTGTCTCTCCCGCTGCTCCCCTCAGCAGTGTGTTTCAGTCAGTCTGCCTGTTCTGCTCCCCACTCTGTCTCTGGTGAGTCCTCCCATCCCCCGCATCTCTGGCCTATACCCCAGCTCTTGTATGCATAAATAAATAAAAATCTTAAAATAAAAAAAAAAACACACAACATTTGTCCCTCGCCTTCACACCAGCCCTTGTCCATGGGGATTTTTTAGTGATATTCACAGGTTCCCACATAGGGATGAAGAGAACAGACAGTTGGGGAGTGGGAGCAAGGGGGAGGCATTTTTACTATAGGTTTTACTCCCCTCCCCTGAGCTTTCTGAGCTTGGACTTCCGAGATAGGCTGTTTGATTTCCCAGCACCCATTTCTCAGGTAACAAAACCTGCATGTTGCTTTGGGGAAAGACACACACCCTGAGTCTCCTTGAAACAGGCCTGCGGGACCGCCAGTCACTGTGGCTGAGCCCTCCTTGGCAAGATGGACTGGGTGAAACACTTTAGGCTAAGTAGATAGTCTCTTCCTGGAATTTAAATCTTTAACAAAATGACACAAAAGCCCGTTGCGTCACGACAACGGATGTGAAGAGATGAAGCGTTGAATGATGCCTAACATCTTGTATGTGGAGCCACTCTAGTCCTTGTCACTTCTGAAGTCTGTTTTTTGTTTATTTGCTCTTTGGTTGTCTTTGGATTATGAGAAATCCCATATCCTTCTCAGTAAGTTCCTTTTTGCCTAATTTAGTTATGGTTGATTTCTGTGTGGTAAGCAAAGAGCCCCCAAAGACACTCCAATACACAGTTCTTTATGAGGTTATCAAACACTACAAAACAATTCCCATATGTCCTTTCAAAATGATCTTTTCTTGCTTTAAGGCATTAATAAAATGTTGATTATTGGCATGGAGATAGTTGTAACATTTTGGGGGACTTACCAGATGGTGACATTATATATTATTTCCTAATCCAATTTCTCACAAAATCTGTGTTTGTTAACTCTTGAAGAAATGCTTTATCATCATTATTAAGTTATAGCTCTGATTTTTAAAAACCAAGCTAAAGAATATCTTGTGGGGATAGAATTTGGATGTGATGAAAGCAGTTCTTTGGCAATATCTCAGAGTTATATACCCTAACTTCATAACAATTTATGTCCAAAACGTCTGAAAGCAAACAAATATCCTCAGAAGGGGAATATTTCCTATGTGGATGCAGCCAATATGTAGATTTTATTATGGCTCTGTCATAAACCAATGACTTACACCTTGCTATTGCTTACACATAAACCTTTCAGAGACACAGATAAATGTTGCTTTGATATATAGTCCTAGCTCCCAGGAAAACCCTCAAGCAGTGGACTCTGATCACAAGTCTTAGAAAAAGTCTTTTGCCTGGCATTGCATAAGAAAGAGTGCAGCTGTGATTGTTATGATCAAGTGGAGGTTAAGCTATATAGCAAAGATTTCTACATGGATGATAGTAAGTTCATAATAGGCTTTTTTTCCCCCATTTTGACCAGAATTACTTTAGTAGATGAAACCAAAAAGAAGACAGAAATGACAACACTGAATTCCACTATTGCTGACTGTTAGAAACTTGCTGACAAATCCCAATTTCTACCACAAGGAAAACAAAATGTGTCCATTAGTGAATATTCTCTATTTCCCCTCTGCTTCCAGTTGTCATTTTATTAATGTTTCACGAATGTATCTATTAGTTAGTGCTGCATAACAAACCGTTCTGAAAAGTAGTAGCTTAAAACAGCAAACATTAATTAACTCATGATCTTGTGGATTAACTGGGTGGCTCTTTTGGTCTTGGTTGCATTTGTTCATGCACCTGTGAGGAGCTGGTGGGCCAGTTGATGGCTTGCTTTGCTGATCTTGGCTGTGTTCTCACATGTTGGTGAGTGACTGCCTGCAAGCTGGTCTAGAATTTCTCAGCTGGAACAACTAGGCTCCCCTCTACTCATCTTCCATCAGGCTGTTCATATAGCTATGTCAGTGTTCTTTGAGAAAATGAGGGAGCGGGGAGAGAGAGAGAGAGAAAGAGAGAGAGAGAGAGAAATGGCACACAATCCCTTCTACCTGCACAGGAGGATCTGCAAAAACTTCCCACACTTAGGTCACAGCTTTGCTAGTTGTGGGTGTGTGTGTGTGTGTGTGTGTGTGTGTGTGTGTGTGTGTGTGAGTGTGAGTGTGTGGTGTCAAATAAGAATTGAGAAGAATGTATGGAAAGGGATAGTGGGCCAGAGAAAAAAGAAATGAAAGATGCCAATAAAGAATGGAATTTCCACTAAGTTACTTTTTAGGTGATTTAACCAAAAAGTTTTCAATTCAATTGTGTGAGATGATGCTCTCTGGGACCCCAGGACTTATTTGGATTAAGCAGTTAGATATCAAAAGGAGGCCCTTAAAAAAACTAGGGGAAAAGAAAAACATTGATTCCCTCCCTCCCCAAGGAGATAATCAATCATATTTAGATGTTAAATATTACCTGAGCACTATGAGGTTCAATATGTCAAAATTTTGAGCAAATGTGGTGTTCTCTGAAGACTTGCTGATTTTTTTTTTTTTTTTTTTCAAATATATGTGGAAGTGTAAAGAAATAATGTATTGATTAATTCCTAGGTGTATGATGCTAGCAGTTTATTTGAACATTTGATTTGATAGCTCCCGTGAGCTCATATTCTTTGGTTCACCTATTTCTATCTGGATGGTGTTGCTGCTAGAAATCTATAATACCGACTGAATGAGTGGGAGGTGACCTGGAAGCTGAAACTCAGAGGCTTGGAAGTTAGCCCAGCCTGTGTTCAAATCCTGACTTCACTCTTTATCAACTATGTGAACTTGAGCACATTTCTGACCTGCTGCTTGTTCCTCATCTTAACATGAGGATAAAAGCCCTTTTGCAAAAGTTTGTTGTAAAGACATACGATAATGTATAATCACTGTTGAACACGTTTATTTTGACTGCTCAGAAAGGAGCTATAGACCAATTTTATTGACTGAGAGTCAATACCCCACAGATTCCCCACATTTGATCAAATAAGGGTCAGGAAGCCACTGAACCAACAAGACACTCTTTTTCATATTCCTTGTAGGAGAGAACCAAAGACAAAGCCCCCAACTTAAGTGTTGGTATTGGGTGTTAGGTGTGGTGCCTCTGTGGCCATTTAAACACTGATAAATCATCAGATACAGTTTTTATTCTCCATATGGTTATTCAAGATCTCAAGGCACTTATAGTTTGGTTGGAGACAAAAGACAACAGAAAATTTTCAAAAGCAGCAAGTTTATAATAAGGGCTAAAGTTGAAGTTTAAGGGCAAGGAGTGATCAGTAAAGGTTGAAGCGGATATTAAAGGTTAATCAAGTTTCAGGATATAGACATGGGAATGGGGAAACTCTGAAGGACATCAAGAGGTGGATGCAGACTAGAAAAGAAGTGGAAATTAGAGAGGTGGAGGTGGAGGGGTGTGGAGGCTGATCAGGTAGGGAGAAAGGAGTTGACGGAGGTTTTGAAAACTAGACAGAAGGCCCTTGATGGGACGGGAGTTAGAGAATTACTAACAATTTCTGAGCAAGTGAAAGAAACCACAAAGATGAATGGACAGCAGGGACCTCCAGATTCCTGAAGTAGGGACAGCCTGGCATGAGGTGTTTGTTGGTAGGGAGTCAGGTACTTAGGGTCCATACCCTGACCTAATACGGTAGTGGTGGGAGGAGTAGGAGGAAGTCGCGAAGACTCTTTATTCCTGGAGCCTTGCAGAGCCATTCTGAATCCATTTCGTCCAGATAGACACATGTTATCTTGGCTCAAACATCTGTTTTGTACAAAGATTCAAAAGGCAAAAGTAGTCTTGCTGGGTACTGGCTGATGAGCTGAGACCGCCTTTCCTTGTCAAGTTTGCAGAAACCAGGATATTGCCTACTAGATGCTTACACATAATGCCTCATCCTTCAAGTGCTTGCAAAGCAGAAATGAGAATAGTACGCCTCACCTGGTAGCTTAGACAACAGCTACAACACCTTTTCTCCCTGAACTTTACAGTGAGAAAGAGGACAGCTCCTCTCCTTATGCCTGGGTAAGGGAAACAAAAGCAGAACATGGGGTGGAATAACATAGGTCTTCCCCTCCATTACTAAAATTCATTTTTGCTTCCCCAGATGGTCAATTACAGATAAATTGGCCTACACAATGTCTGGGAAAAATGCAATGTCAACAGGTCCTCTGAGACAAGGCTCGGCAGAGGTGCTAATGCCACCCTTTTCTTCCAACTACAGGAAGAGAACTTAAATGTTTTTCTGTAACTTCTACATCAATGACATCTCTGCCTCCAAGCTGCCTGTCAGTGTGAGACAAAAGGAGAGAAAAGACGGAATTGAAGGCGCCTGAGTGTCAAGGTAAATTCCCTTCTTGTTTGAGATGTTTCTGTCTTTCCAAGGACCCGCCACGGGGGGCAAGGGGGGACAGTGAGGGACAGCATTGCTCTGGAAGGAGAGTCAGACTAATATCGCACACTCAGCTCTCTGCTGCAGAGAGCCTCTCTGGGGACTGACAATTTACAGCAGAAGATAAGCCCTTCAAGTTTATCTACCCAACAAGTAGGTATGAAGGGCCTGCCTTAGGCCGGGATCTGCCCCAGCACCAGCAATAACCCAGTAAAGGAAAGGAAACCAGTCCCTTTCCGTGGGGGTTGACATGCCTGTGGGGGAAGTTGGGCAGCAGCCGGTGGTAGTCTGCTGCAGGTTGTCATGGTGTGGAGGCGGTGGAGGAGGGAGAGGAGGAGGGGGGAGGAACAGAATTGGGGGAGGCTGCACATGGGGCAGGGGCGGGGCAGCACCGGGATCTACGCTCTTTCCAGCCTGGCGTCGAGGGCCGGCCTTTCCAAGAAGCTGAAACCTGCAGGAAGAGAGACTGACCGAAGCAGGCGCTGGTGAAAGGATGGCCCAAATGATACAGAATGTCAAATTCAAGGTGAATTTCAGATTTAAAAAAAAAAAAAAAAAGTATTTTTTTTTTTAGTGTAAATATGTTCCAAATATTATATGGGATATACTGATACTGAAAAAAAAAAATCCCTAAAATTCAGCTTAAGCTGGGCACGCTGTATTTAATTTGCTGAATCTGGCAGCCTTTGCCAAGTCTCCAGCAAGGCGTGTGCTTGGAGTGCCCAGGAGCAAGGCCAGCGGTTGAGCATGGGAGATGGGCAGGAGATGAGGTCCTAGGGTGGCAGGTGGCCCGGTCACCTGCAAGGACTGTGAGTTTTCCTCTGAGTGTGATGAGGAGCCAGCAGGAGGCTTTGAGTGGAAAAGTGTCAATCATTTGTCTTTCCCAATGATGAAGGGATTTCATTGAATATTCATTCAAACAAATCATTGAATTCCTATTAGATTTACTAAGCAAGGATCGTGCTAGGATCCCGTTCCTGCTCTCCAGGTGCTCACCTGTTCCCCCAGCCAGCAGGGTAAGAGTTGGGGTCAGCATGCTGTTGCAGCCCAGAGCATCACAGGTGGATGGATTACTTGGGCCAGAAAAATCTGAGAAGCATTTCGGAAGAGGTTGGACTAACTGGTCAGGAGGGACAGGTGGAAAGGCTATTTTCTTTTTGTTTTAAGCCTTAAGATGTTGAACTCTACACTGTGAATGCAGCTTGGGTTGGCATTGCAGCTGCTGCACCCAATGTCCCCTGGGGACGCTGCTCCCCCAGGACATCAAAGTGAAAATCAAAATCAACAAAAAACTATGAAACAGAGACACTTTTTGGGGGGTGGGGGGCGGGAGGGGAGGGATTGGGGTCAGAATGGGGGGATTGCAATTGTATGGGGAATATAAAAATAAAATTTATTATTTAAAAAAAAAAAAGACTTCACGATGCAATCAGAACCAAAGGATTGCAGGACGAGCAGCAAGTACTTGATCCTCAAGTGAAAGAGCAAAAGGCCAGGACAGACGCCATGAGAGGGACACCTTTCCTCCCTGACACACCACAAGCAACCCGGGTGGGGAGGAAGATTGTGGGCCCAGTAAGTGTGCATTTCATAAAGCAGCCAGTATTTTTCCTTAGGGATTCCTGCCTGCAGGGTAAGGAAAAATGTCAGGCTTCTCTGCCCTCTCGCCATCAGGATAGATGATGGATCCTTGATGTCCTGAATGCATGCCTGATGGCGGGCACCTGGAGTAAGGTGTGGGCATAGGTAGATGGGATTCACCTGGGCTAAAACAGGGCTTTTAAGGGTGGCGTCACAGGGATGCCAGGAGCAGCAGAAGCCGAGAGAGAAGCAGAGAACACTGAAGAGCCCAGATAGAGTGAAGACCTGTTGGGGGCTGGGAGGCCTGCCAGCCTCCCGGCCCCCCAGCACCCTTGCCTGCTGTGTACCGGGTAATCCCAATAAAAGTCTGCAAAAAGCCACTGAGGACTCTGACCCCTCCTTTACTCGGTCTGCTGGATCATAGAAAACCTGCGCTGTGTCGTTCCTGCCTCTACACTGCCTCTGAGAAGGTAGCATCCAGAAAAATTCCTGGCATGCCAGAAAAGCTGATAGATGTAGAATAAATATCCAATTTGTGCATCAATTTACAGAAAGCATTTCAAGTGTTTCTAATAATCAGCTTTGTCAATTAGCTTTTACTTAGTCCATTTTTTCAGGATGCCTACGTGAGTTCTCATACTCTGTGGCTTCTCCAAAATGGCCAGAGATCCTCAGAAAAGGGTTATGCTTGTCCTGAGCCAGGCCACAAAGGGGACCAGAGCCCAGGGTCTCCAGGACTCAGGGCCTGGAGCGCATTGGTCAGCTAGTGAAGGAAATACAGTCAGTTCAGTTCCCCTGAGGGAACGTAATCACGTCTCCAAATATTTACACATTCACAGGTTCCAGGGGGTAGGATGTGGCTATATCTTTTGGGGAGACATCAGTCAACCCATTACATTCCTTAAAATGGAGACTAGTGAGGGAATCAAGACAAAAGGAAAATATATGAATAAAGTGAAAACGTGTCAGGTGATTGCTGGTGTTGTGTAGTATGTTTAGCACAGGTCACAGCAAATGCCGCCACAGCCCCGTCCATCTCTCCTGGGCACCTGCTCCTATGCCCACCCAAGGCTTCAACCTGCAAGAACCTCCACTCTGCACTGCCTAATGGTTTTCTGTTTGTGGATTGCACTTCACCTAAATCAGGTGAGGCAAACTAAAAAACACCAAGGTAATGATCAGGGAAAAGCCTTCAACCAATGATGGGCAGGAGCTGAGGCCAAATCCCCCAGCTTTCTTAGCCTTCTGCTGATTTCAGCAGCTGACTTGGTGGGATAACTCAGACCCTCAACCCTCATCAATATGCCCTTTGCATCCTGTGGCTGTTACATTTACCCATTTATTATTAAAACTGTGCACGGAAGTACCAGGAGGAGCTCTAGAGGGTTATTGCTGGTGCTGGACGGATCCTCCCCTCTCCCCACTGGCAGACGCACCCCTCCTGATGACCAGAGTTAGGCCTGCCAGGGTGAAGGCAACTTGCTTTGCCCTTTTGTCTCCGGGCACAAAGACTGAAAGGACCAGGTGCAGCGCAGTAACTTAAAGTTAGTGGGACTCTGCTGCTGTCCTCCATGTATTTCCACTCCGGGAACCAGGCCCTTTCATGTAGAGAACTAGAGGTTCAGGGACTAAAAATGCATCACAGGCTGCAATGGTGGGTGAAGCCACCCCCACACCCCTCACCATCCCTTATGGATAGCTGTATTTACCTTTTCTGGACCCCATACTCGCTGAAGTTGGTGACTGATTTAGACTGTATGCTAAATATGGGGGCGTTCCTTGCAGGGAACCACCTCCAAACCGGCACCTCAATGGCACCCTGCAGAGCCTATTCCATTGCCTTCTCAGGCGGCAGCTGCTGAGAGGTGCAGTAAGAGGACCAGCAGCTCTGCTGGTCACGTGACCACAGCCACACCCGTTTGCGGTGAAGAGGCTGATTTGGTTCAATATCTTGGCTGGTAGGAGCCCTCTCTGTAGGTCAGACGCTCTGGGAACATTTGGATAATGTTGGCTGAGGCCCTGTGAGGAAAAAAAGACAAACCCAGACCCTCCAGAATGTGTTTATGTATCTGTGAAAACTAATCACTGACCCTTCCATGGTGGGAAGAGACCAAAGTAGGCCTCATCATGGAATGGTGTCCTAGCCCTGCAGCTGTAGGGAAGGCTTCAGTTGATCCCACAGCGAGCTTAGCAACAAGAAGGGTCCTCAGGGCTGCCTCAAATTACGGCAAGACGGTGAGACGTGATACTTATTCTCCCCTTTCCATGTGCCACTCATCCTTCGCTGGCCATCCCCAGAAGGGCATGAGACGCAGAGGAACGGCTTCCGTCACTTAACATGGATTCCCAAAGAGCAACTCAGCACACAGTCTTCAGCCCCGCACTGCACAGCAGCCAGGGAAGGCTCTGACAGCACAGCCTCCACTAGGGTGCATTTATTTTTCATGAGTGGACTGTGTTTGCTATTGTTTTCCCTCCCTGGAGAAATGAATTGGCCCCGAACGGTCCTTAGTCAGGGCAGTTAACAGATTGTTGGTGGTTTTAGCAGGAATTATTTCCATGGGGTGTTGGGGGAAGGCGGGGGAGATCAAGATGGCTAAGAAGCAAGTGTGAAATAAGGAGGCTGAGTTAGCGAATCTAAGCCTCTTTTGCAAGGAACTTTATGAGAGCAGGGATTCTGGAGATTTAGGGAGAGTGAGTTAGAACGCCCTGCCTTCTTCAGTGAGTGCTCTTCCAAAATAGACAACTGGGGTTAGGAGGGAAATTTGGAAGCACTTTTTTTTTTTTTTCCCTGTGTGAAGCTAATTAGTCTCCAGGGGAACTGAATTTGTAGCTCCAGCTTCATTAGTACCATCCCAGCTGAATCAACTGTCTGGAGAGCCACCAAGCTTCAGGCAAGCAGTAGCAGAAAATCCAAGATTGTCTGAGAAATTGAGTTTGTGACTAAGTCAGACGCAGAGTGGGTTTAAGTTCATGTCATGTATGAAACATTTATAGCATAGCGCGTGGGGTCCAAAACTTGGGAGTCTAGCAGAGGTTGACCTAAACTTTGGAAAAGTGTTCCTATTTCTGCCCAAAAGGTAAAAAAAAAAAAAAAAATTTGCCAAATAAAGATGTTATGAAATCAGCAGATGCAACTGTGTTTCCTGGGCCTCATTTTTTCAACTACACATCTTTGTGTGTAAAATATGGAGAACTGAGCTCATTACACTATAAATATAACTGATGAGGGCAGGTGGAATTCTCCTCCGTTGATGAACTATTTAAATAATTTCCTAAATTCTATATTTTATTATATATTTCCCCCTGCTAGGGTGATCCGTCCTTAATTTAATCAGGAAGTCAATCTTCCTTGAGCAAGGCCAGGAGTAGGAAACTAAGTAACTCCAACCTTTGTCCTGACATTGTTTATGAAGAAGGAGGCGTTGGGGATGAAGGTGGGCAAGAGCAGGATCTCATTCTAAATAGCAGGAGGGGCCCTCTGATTATGCAGCACTCTCTTAAACTGAATAAAGAGTAGAAACCAGTTTGCATGGGGGTCAGACAGGGTTCATCCTTGGATATCCTAGTATGTCTTTTCTCAGAGATCATTCTAGAACGGCCTCAAGCTTCACAACATTGAAAGCACCTCTGGATGCTGGATTCATCTCATGCCCCTCCAAACCTAGCGAGACAAACCTAGTGGCTGTCTCATTTCAGCCTTCAGCAATCTGAGCTGCAATTCCCTTGTGTAGGAAGGAGGGTGCTCCCTGACTGTGGGTCACTGCTGTGTCTAATGTGATCCTCTCCTACTATTCTTGTCTTCGCACCTTGATTGTTTCCTTTCTGCACATATCCCAATTTGTAATCATTTATTTATGTGTTCATCTGCTTTAACCCACTTAAATGTAGGCCCTTGGAGGGCAGAGCCCAACTCAGACAAATCCCCGGACCTGGCACCTCATAATATTTCCATTCACTTGCGTTGGTTGAGTAAATTATAATGAACAAATTTGACTTGGAAAGGATCATAAAACAAAGGCAAAGCTTCATTTCAAAATTCAGGTAAGAGCTTGGTCTGAGCTCTGCATTAGTCAGATCTGTGACTTTGGACTTGACTTTCAACCTCTTTGGTCTTCATCTGTGAAAAGGAAGTGAGAAGAGGTTCATTTAACGCCAGAGGTATGTGACTAGACCTGAAGCTGATTGTGTGCATTCTGCAGTTTCGTCTCTGGGTTAGTTCACACTGTGGCCTTTTCTCCCTCACTCATTTACATACCTTATTTTTCATAAAGCTGCTTGTTTTAACCCAAGCCAAAGCCGAACAAGCCTTTATTGGAAAAATATGTCCCTGTAATTAAATTTCAGTATTCAGGGATTTCCAAAGCCACTTTACAAAGAGAAAAATGGTCATTTGGTGTAGAAATCCTCAATATG